CACCGGCCATCGAGTGTGCTGCGAGCCGCTGCGCCCGTGCTTGGTACGCGTGTGCGCATCCCGTGTGCTCTGAAAGTGGAGGCTGGCACCAGAAAAATAGTATGACTGTGAATAGCAAACTGGCAAAAATTAGAGGCCTTGACTATATCCTTACACTGAATCATTGAAGTTTATCTCAAGTTTTCATTTACATCAGCAAGGGAATGTAACATTTAAACAGTCAGAGTGTGTAGTAGTATTTCCATTTTTTAAACCATTCCTATGAAGCCAGCCGCAGTGCTCACATTTAAGGTTTTATTTTTTTTCTTCTACACTGTTCATCTTGGTTGCATTTAGTACCTTGGGAGATCTTTCATTCAATATCTTTTTTTTTTTTTCTTGAAGGCATGTCAGGAATACAGACGAAAAATGCAAAGCCAAGAAAAGTCTATTTAAGTATTACAGAATAAGGAAATAGGGCCTGAATGAACTTGCCTGTGCCATGTAAATGCTTTGAAGTTTTGCAATGGCAGAAGCTAGGTCTTCAGAGATTAAAAGATCCCGAATAAGTTTGTCACTCGGTAAAAAGAGGAAACAAAAAGGAACAACAAAAAAAGTGGAAGAGAAAGGAACACCATCTATACCTTCAGCATCCTCCATTACTTCCTTTTTTAACAATGTTCCCCCAGCCAAAATTACCTGTCCCATGTGTGGGCAAATGGTGCCAAGGTATGGAATAAATAAGCACATGGATGAAACATGTCAGAAAAACCATAGTGAGATTGGCATCAAGTCAACACTCAACTCTTTTAGGAATGAGAGTCCCTCAGCTGCAAATGTGAACAATAATTCCAGCTTATATATTTCCAAAACCCTCTTAAATCTAGAAACAAGTCCTCCCAAAAGCAGTTTATGGAAAACAGAAGGGAGTGCAGCGCAACAGATTAGTCCTTATTTTAGCAATAATCATTCAGTCTGTAGTGTTAACAATGAGCCACAGGCTCAAACAGTTAAAATAGTCTCTTTGGGAACCTTGTCATCTAAACTGTCCAGAAGACGACATATCCAGGGAGGAAAACAGATTGTGTATAAAGAGATCAACTCTTCACCTCCAACTGCTCACGATACGTGCAAAAGTGCTGCAGCACAGGATGATGATATTTATGCTGGGCATAGTTCTCAGAAAGAAAATCAGCTTGCTCAGAGAGACCACCAGGAACAAAACTTTTCAAAGAAGGAACCTGAATTTCAAGAAGAAATAAAGAAATGTAATGGAAAAGACCTTGTGGATATTATTCAGGTATCATTACCAACTGATAAGGTTAATGGCAAAGGGTTACCAATTGGTACAAGGAGCACCAAAACAGAAAGTAGATCTGAAGGTGTGATACTTAGCCCTGATAAATTTGAAACACATCTAGCCATTTATACTTCAGCAGAGCTGACCAATAGTTTGGAAGTCAAGACTCAGCCTCACACTCAGGTTATTCCTTCTTCCAAGACAGAAGAGAACTGGGGTACACAAAATCGCTTTAGCAAGGGTGATATACAGCTACTTCCTGTGGAAGTTCGTGAAGGCTTTAAAGATGAGATTAATCATACTTTGTCAGAAACTATGGAGGAGGTAGAATTTCAAAATTCCATTGGAGACATTTTAGATAAAATAACTGAGGTTAGCTCTGTGCCCAGCTCTCCTGGTCATCCATATTATCTCCAGAATTTTTTAGTGGTGCTGCGAGCAGTCTTGGAGAACGAAGATGATGTCAGACTCTTTGATGAGCAAGACATGAACATTATTACTAAGTTCTGCAAATTATCAGGTATATATATATTTATTAATATATTTTCACATTACATAGTTTTATGTCAAGAGTGCTATACCAATGGGCAATTTCACTTGATAAATTCCTTAAGGGAAGAAGCTCCTTTTCCTCAGGAGATGTATCCCTCAGTGGCTTCTTGTAGGTAAACTTTCCTAATGTTGCTTTAATTGAAAGTAGTGATAAGTAGTGGAGACTTGCAAGAAACAAGAAGAAAGTGATTATGTATATTTCTGGGGTTTTGGATTTTTTTTTTTCCCACTGTTTTAATGCTGTTTTGAGAACCTTAAGTCAATTTGCTGCTGTATTTAAACAGGTTCCCAAGGAACGAAACTTGTAGCACAGAAAAAATGTATCCGTTAACACCAAGCTTTTCATGATTATTACCTATGGAAATTCTACAAAATGGGGTCATGAAGAGGCCTATCTATGCTGGATACATAAGCCTTGAAAAACTACTTCTGAGGTGGCATTTGTGAGCTTTGATTCAGCACATTTACAGATTACTTTCATGCTTGGTGTGAACGCATGGTTATCCCTGTGATCATTATCCTGTGTTTAGAATGCTAGTTACTAATTAACAGTCATTTTCTTGTAGGTTGCTTAGTACTTTTAACTCCCATTGATTTCAGTAGGAGCCAGAATGTTGGAGTTTTAAGCCCTCTATATAGACAAAATTAAAGTTGGACATGTTGTCTGAATCTCATACTCATGACTTTTACAGTAAGCACATGGCAGAAGTGATGCAAGGTAAAACTACCCTTCCAAGTTACTACGTATGTTTATAACTTGTCTTAAGCTGTAATTATGAGTAGTTTTACCAGCATCTGAGCTGCAAACTTGGAGCATCAAAATGGAAATAAGCTTATAACAACTTCCAGAAAATTTCTATCTCACAGTATTGCAGGCATAACCATATCTATTGTTTTAACATACAGTTGTGTGACAAAGTCCTTTTAGACATATGCTGATATATTCCTTAAAGAAAATAGAGGCAATGCATATCTGTTTCTCTAGGAAGTACTTAAACTGTGGGGGGACAATCTCAGAAAGTCATCTTTGACTTAAGATCTTCTTCCAAAGTTTAGCAGCTGGAAAGGACCATATGAACATTCTTCATTTGCCCTAGCGGAAAGGTCAGCTGAGCTGACTCAAACCACCTTAAGAGATGGTTGCTAAAAAGGTAAAGAGACTGCAGAGGAGAACATAGGGCTCTAAACTTACAGGTATTTCTGCAGTGATTACCTGATCACAGTTAAGCTCTTGTTATAATTACAATTATATTGTAATAATTACAACTATGCAGTAACACCAAACATTTTAAAACATAAAGAATAATACTAACATAAGTTTTGAAAATACTGTAAGTAAGATGAGATCCTAACATAGGACTTTATTTGTCAGGGAGCAAGAACAGACTACTCTGCATGGGAAGATGAGCCAGGAGCCAAAGGGGACAGGCAGGGGCCACATCCTTTCCTCACCTGCACAATGTGGGCACAAGCCCACACGTGCCCAAAGAAGAGCAGAGTGGATCGAGTGCCAGTACTGCAGTCAGCTGTGCTCCAGTGGTGGCAGGTCTTCAGGCAAGTCTGTGGTGACCAGGCAGATGCAAGGTGAAGCCAAGCCAGCAAGGCATCTGGCTGGGCAGTGGCATGCCACAGCAGAGCTTAGGCAAGAGTGCAGGCCACCAGCCTGAGCCTAAGTACAGCTCCCGGTAGATTAGGGGGAGGCCCTGACACAGCCTCACACAGCAATTCCCAGCTGCCTGTGCCCAGCTTACACAGCTGCACCATATCAGAGCTGACCTTGAACACAAGCAGCCAAACCTGTGGGGGCTGCGATGGGGTTGCAGAGCATTTTGGTACACTCAAGGCCATAAGAATATTAAAATAGTTCATTTTCTCCACCTAAATGTATATACAGTGACACTTTGGAGCTTGGTAAATCTTTGTTTATGTTGTGATAGTTAAAAAAGGAATATATACAGAAAGAATAGAATATAAGCAACAAAACTCTTGTTATTGCCTCTCTGACGCAAGCAGTAGATGCATATCATTTACATCCAAAGAAGATCTAGGAATAAACTTACAGTTAGGTCATTAGTGGATGCAGGCTTAGGCTACTTTGACAAATGCTAAGAGACGTTCAAGGTACAGCTTCCTTATTTCCACACTCCTTTCTCTGGAAGAGTACAACACTGATCAGTAATTGTAACTTGCTCTGTTAAATAAAGGAAGTGCTTGTTTCTTTTTCAGTAGTGTGATTTCAGTATTCACCTCTCACGGAAGTTCACAATACAGAAAGAATTGTTGCAAAATGGTGCTGATAAATCCATATCTGCACTGACTACTAGAGTCGCAAATGAAACAGTCTCACTTTGCAGGGTAAGAAAAGCACAGTGAATCAGCTGCGGGAAGTGATTGGATAGCATTAAGTCAATAGGTAGTGAATTCCGGACAAGTGACAGATGGATGTCTTTACCTTCAAGAAATCTTAGAGTACTTTAAAAGTTCAGGTAGATGGGTTATCTGTTCCACATTAGAAGTTTCTACCCAAGCAAGTGTTGTCTTTCAGTTACCATAACACAACCCCCCCCCACCTGCTTAATACCATAAAGTTGCTTGAACATAGTTATTCTCCAGTATTTCATTATTTTCTGCGAAAATGTCTGACATTCTTCAGTGAGTTCTCTCTAATGCTTATTGTGAAATGAATGATATTTTTAAAAGGATTAAATATGAAGCAATCCTTCTTTCCTGCCCAGTTTGCTCAAAATTTGGATGTAGAGTACTGCCAGTTTTTTAAGTACTGGAAACAGCAAATAAAAATAGGGAAAAGCAGAGGTGTATCCATAACAAGTAATCTGCAGTGCAATGTCAGGCTTTGTGCTCAAGATGAGATCTGTCTGAACTTAGGTGTGATATTAAAAAAAATTATTTTTTTTTTTTGTATTCGCCATGTTTAATTTCATCGCATCTTGCAGTTGGAAGAATTTAAATGCAAGCACATAGTTGTAGTGTCACTACTTAATACACTTTGAGAAATCCTTCCAACTTTCATACAACAGAAAAATCGTATCTGAGAAACATTGATTTATAGTCACCAGTGGAACTGAGGTACAGAAAACTGAACAAGGAAAAATAATGTAATTGTTTGCTGTTGCATTTTAATGAATCATAGAGGGTGAACTTTTCTAAGATCTTCTGCATCTTTTTGCTGATAATATTTCAACTTAGAGCAATTTTTTTATTTCAGTGATACACCTGAAACTTTCTTAAGAACTACAAAAGAAAAAAAAGCCCCAAAACCTTCAAAGGTAAAGCACTGCAGAACAGGATGCTTAAGAAGCAATTAATTCCTTGTGCAATACCTTTTTATTCTTCTATGTGTCATTCAAATCCTTTAGAGAGAAGGCAGTCTTCACATGCCCCTACTGAGTGGATTGCAGCCCTAGTTTGGGCAGTTTCCATGGTCTGGAGAAAGGATGTTGATTTGTTGTTACTTGACCTTCTTCCTTCTTCCAGAGTTGTAAAAGCTGGAGTTAGACTTCAAAGAAGTTATAACCCTATAGAGAAAATGACAAGCTTATGCATCTGAATGTAGTTCTCTCAGTGAATTGATCCTGGAAACATTCTATTAAAAAAAAGGCTGAAAAAGTCTTTTTAAGGAGAGGAGAATAGTTAAATAAGCATGTAAAAGTTAACTGCCATTTCTTAAATGTATCCAGGTCAGGTAGTGTTTCAATGTCTATTTTTATTAATGATCAGCTTCAGTTCAGCAGCAGCAGACTAGGATAAAAAACCTAGGAGTTAATGAGGGATGAATTAAGTATTCAAAAGGGCGCTGAACATAGTAATAATAGCCAGACTATTTTCAGCTAAGATTTAATAAGCTATTTTGTTGAATTTCAGCTTTGTTAGTATTTTAGAAGTATTTTAGAAAGGTTCTTTTAAGAGAGCACTTCCCTGATAAAAATCAAATAGATAGGTTTTTCCCCCTTGTTTTCAGTAGATATATTATTAAAATTAAGCTTATCTTTGGAAAAATAAGAATCTGAAGACTACTACACAGAGAGGTATTCTGTGATTATGAAATCAGTCTGTCAGACTACAGCTTCTTTTGTTCCCCAACATCAAATAGTTGGTTATTGAATGAGTGTTAAAGAAAGCAGAAAGACCCATGTAACATCACAATATGCAGAGTTTGAAAAATGAAGTTGTCTTTTCCTAGAAAATAAATTATTTCTTAAAGGGTAAGCATGTCCAAAATGTATTTTAGCAATGTTCATTAGCTACAAAATACATTGTAATAATTTGTACCTACAAAACTTAAAGATTCTAATGAGCAATAATTACTTGGAAAGGTAAGTTCTGGTATTTTACCAAGTCTGCTCGTAGGACATGGGCAGATTTAAAATGTGTTTTAGAGGATATCTGCATCAAATTAATTTTTCTAGGTAAAGTAGTGATTATGTGTAGTACTGTGTTTTAGAATTTAATTTTCTTTTTATCTTTCCCTGCTTTAAATAAAATTTGCAGTTGGTGGGCAGAAGTTATATGTGAGACTTTTTCAACGCAAGCTGAACTGGTTAAAAGTGAACAAAATAGAGTATGGAGAGATAAGTATGGATTTGTCACCAATAATTGAAGAACTGGCTGAAGCCAGATTTCTGCAAACAGGTATGGGCAGCATTAATAAATGTTAAAAATATTACAAATAAAATCTGCGCTTGTGTCATGTTAGAGTTTAATGCACTACATGCTCATCTGTACCTTGAGAAGAAAATTAGAGGAGCAGAATAAAAGTTTCAGGTAGATGAGTTGTGTTGTGTTACATTAATAATAAAAGCAGTTAGTGCAAATTAGGTAATAGGGGGAGCTAAATAAATATCAGGGCTACAGGTGCAATAAATATCAGGGCCTTATTTGCCCTCACCAGCCTCATCTCAGACCCTGACCTGTGCAGCCTATGCGCGTTGGTCCAGGAGCTCTATTTAATAGCCTTCAGTACTGCCCTCAGCTGCCTTGCAGGCACCCTGTCCTTGGCCTTGTCCGTCCCTGGCTAGCTGGACTCCAACCAATGCTGTGGGTGTTTGTTTCCAGTCTTGTCTGTGGCCGTGTACTGTGGATGGATCTCAGACGCAAATTGTAGTCTTGTCTCTAGTCTTACACCCGGCTCATCTCTTAGATTGACCCTGGACTTCATTCATCATCATGCCTTTTCTGGGGTTGCCAGTGGAATCTGTTACCAGGACTTTGCTCTGCCCATTCTGTTCATGTATGGTGGGACAGCACCAGGGTTGGTGACCCGTGCTGTGGTCAGTCTTGACTCCTGGCTCATTCCCGCTTGTCGAGCAGCTCTGCTCTTGTAATTCCTGTGGCAGCACTTCTTTTTGCATTGGGCAGAGTCTTAATCATCAGGAAGACAATTTTTTTCTGAATAGCATTTGTTTGTAGCTCAGCAGAATTTCTTTACTTTTGTTTTGAAGTTGCAAGGGTGGGGTTTTTTTTATTATTCCATTCCTTCAAAATGGGCCTGTGAAGAGAATGAATTCCAAGCTGAACCAGCTAGCATCGATAATACATGTTTGAAGAATCTAAATCATTAGATTAGTACTAGGTTATATGAATTTACTATACTTTGAGCTATTGCTTGAGTGTATATGTGTAGCACATAATGAATATATGTGGATCATTCTGCTTTCAGAATCTGAACTGGAAGACCTGTGTGAAGGGTTGGATTTGCTTTCAGTGCCTGAGCTAAAAACATTGGCAAAGATCTTTCACTTGCCAAACCCAAATGGTCAGAAACAGCAACTTGTGGATGATTTTCTGAGGTTGGCAAAACAACGTTCAGTCTTCAGCAAGAGTCAGGCTGGTATTGGGACAGTGATTTTAAAAAGGTAACTCTGTTTATAGTTACATTTTGCAGGTGAATGCAAGTTATGCTTCAAAGAACTCAATCTAGATGCCTTTTGAAGAGAGGAATGCATTTGTAAATTTATGAATAAAAAAGAGCAGCATTACATTTTGATTCACAGTGGGTCAAACAGAAGGGTAAATATTAGAGTTTTTTTTAAACTATGTCATGCTTTTCAGCTGTGGGCATGATTATCTATCTCAAAAGTTACTCAGTTATACAGAGGAGCATTTCTGAATTTAAAGCAAAATCAATGCAGAAAAACGTCTAGGAAGACAGGGAAAATCATTACCTATTAAAGCAACTATCTGATATTCGTTTGCTGGGTGAGGTCTTTTAGTAGAATTAGAGGGTAGCAATAATCTCTTTTTTTTGTGATTGACTTTGTACTTCAGCATAGAGCCTCCTTTTCAGCAGTATTTTTAAAGGGAAAAGATTGTTTGCTTGACAAAGTGTTTGTTCTTTCCTGTGAATTTTTTCACTGTGGCTATGACAAGTCTGTATATCAGATGCCCTTGACTTCAGGTCTTCTGGGGTCCAGATTCAGGTTTTAGGGTGTCATTCTGCCCTAATAGTGATTACAGCATTACCATTCTTGGTGTTTAGGGCTGCATCTGTAGCTAGAACATCCACAAAAAGTCCAGGAATATGTACTGAAGCAATAGCCAGGGTACTGGTGCCAGGGTGCAAATCAGTTCTGGAGTTTATAGGCTTTCATTTGGAGTTACCTCTCTTAGTCACTAATACCAAAAAGTAAGTAACTGTCTGAATAATAATGCGTAAAAACAAAGGGTGCTTGTCTAGCAGTTAGCTTGTTTAGTAGGCTGGAGATCTATAGTCTGAACTTGGTAATTCTGGAATCCTTTCTCTACAAAATGTAGGTTGGGTAGAAAGCTGACAGACACCAGTATGTACTGCATTTCCTTCAATAACATAATTTGTCTTTCTTGTGGTATTCTTTTTCAAATGAGAGAGATATAAAGCTTTGTCAAGTTTTGCATAGCTATGTCTATTGGACCAGTATTCCCCCCTGAAATCTATCCTGTGATTCTCCACAAAATTCCTTGTACTAAAAGGGGTGTAGTAGTGGAAGAGAAACTTTAAAATCATCCCTCCATGAAGAATTATTACATGGATCAACAAGGTCATCTTTCCTTATGCCAAAAGAGAGGTCTAATGCTAGCTTAGAGCTGGGAGGTTTGCATAGTATGGTTAAGTTCTTTAAAATAGATTGATATGGTCTTTGTTGTTTTCAAAATACAACAGGAGCTCTAGTGGTTCCCATTCTGGTAAAAATAGTATTTCACACTGGTGTCACTGTCTCCAGTAGCACTGCACTTCATTTGGTCCGCAGGAAAATAGGTAAAGTGATGATAGTCACCGCCATAATTATTTTGTGTTAGAGGATGTTGGGACTTTGTGATAAGTAAGGATGTTTTAATTTAAGGGGTTGCGGCTGTTTCTTCATTCTAATCCAGGTATAGAAAACTTCAGTATAAAAACACTTTGTATCACTTGAGATTTCATTTTTTCTCTTTGATACTAGATATTTGAACTACGTGCCAATGCCTGATGCATAATTTGTATAAATATCTCTAACAGAAACAGAATTGTTTTCAGAATATTAGCTTAAACTGTACAAAGTAAGGCTAGGCAAGAGTGTGTTCAGGAAATAGAAAGGAACCTGGGAAAATCCGTTACATTCCAAAAAAGTCCTTGGCTCTTGTTTACTCTGTATTCTGAGAAAAGAGGCTGATAGTTACTTGCTGGGCCACATCAACTTTGGGAATGTAATGCTGTAGTTGACAGCTGAAATACTAGTTACCCCATGAGATCAGAACAGATCCTTTTTTAAATCTGTGCTGTCCTGTGGACAAGTAACAGAAATCTTGTCTTGTTTGAAAAGGCTGGATGAAGATGTGCTAATGGAGATACCCTAAAACAAGGAATCTCAAATTGCGGTCTGTAGACATTGCCCTAACAGCAAACCACATCTTGTTGCTTGTTGGTACTGCCTGGCTTAGCAGCAGGAGTGGCTGCACCCAAAGGACAGTTAGTTCCAATTCTATTCTGCCTGAAGTTTGGCCCTTAAATGTTTTATTAGTTATAACGCATTTCTTTGGCTTTTCACTAGAGGTTACATGCACTATATAGTTTCTCAAGGTGCTTCTTTCAAGGAAAATCAAGTTCACACATTAATGACTTGAAAAAAAAAATTTCATACTTCATTCAGCATATTTGAATTTTTATAAGTGATGGTAAAACCCATTTGTTATAATAATTTTATTTGTCCTTCCAGGGTGAAGGAGCTGGCTGGAAAATCTGTCAGGGTCTGTAAAGGCCCTCGAGCTGTCTTTTCTCGAATTCTGCTGCTATTTTCACTGTCTGAGTCCATGGAGGATGAAGAAGCTGGTAGTGCTGGTCAAGGCCAGCTCTCCACAGTCCTTATGGTAAACATGGGGCGTATGATATTCCCCAGTTACACTGTAAATAGGAAAAAACAGGTCTTCCAGGACAGAGAAGATCTTATCAGGTAGGGGGAGCTTTGGCGGTTTGGAAATCTGTATATTTCTAGAAAAGCTTTACTGCAGTACTTGTGTAGGCAAATAAGAATTCATCATGTAGAACTCCAGATATAAATAGGTAGATTTGCAATGATTTTAAATGCATTTTCGTATCCAAGTAGGACTTGTAATTCACAGTGGCTTCCATTTTCAACCAAAATAGCATATTTATTTACTTCGTGATCTGCTGATGAAAGTTTCTTCATTTGCTGTGATGATTATTAGAATGGACTCTGAACAAAAAAAATACATTCTCTGGTTTATAAGTAGTTTTAAACATAATGTACCCTGCTAGTGTAAACTCTGCTGATCCTACAAGATTAATAATAATTAATTGCATTGTTCAGTATCTTTGGAGACTGGGAGTTTTTAAAAGGTATTGTGTGGAGGAATTGATTTCTTTTAACTATAAATGCTTTTTGAGCCTAATATAGTTATTATGGGTTTTTTCCCTTAGGTATGCAACTGCTGCTCATCTGTCAAATGATATAGCCACTGCAATGGTAAATGGGAACTGGGAAGAAGCTAATCATCTATATACGTGTGCTAAAGAAACCTGGAACAAACTGAAAAATCACCCCTCTTTGAGGTAGTAAACTGGAAACTAGCATAGTGTTCATATGAAACTATTAAGTGTATTACCTTACTTTTGGTACTTTTTCTGTTGAGAGAGGCTTATACACTAGTGATATTATTCAAGCCTGATAAATTTAGAAGCTTTAATGGTCTTGAAAGCTTTGAACTTCCTGATTGTTTGTTTAGCTTTTAAGTGATTGTATGAAAAGGCCTTTTTTATAAAACCTTGGGAATGAATTGGTAGGCATGGATAAAGCACTAAAACATTTCTGTTGTATGTGCCAATGCAGGAGAACAAGAGCCTTATTTTTCCCTTGTCATACTTTGTTTTTATGGCTTTTAGACAAATAGCAATAAGCAGAATTTAAAATTCACTGTGAACAAAAGAATGTTGCAAATGTTACGGGAAAACATACTGGGTTATTCATCTCTTCAGACTGCCAAGTGAGTGTCATTCAGGAAACGTTACTAAAGATCTGAGAACTGAAATAACGTGTATTGTTTTTGAAAACGGCCTGCATCAGTTTTTCTTTAATTATTTTGTTTTCTGGCTTAATGATACACCATAAGTTAAAGTCTTATGTTTGGCATTATATTCATTTTCATGGCAAATGATTTAAAATGGTATTCATAGAGGGTCATTTGGAGGTCTATTTCATGTCACACCGCAGACAATGGAAAAATCTATTTTGGTTTCAGTAAGACATTCAAAAGACTTTGTCTTGAAACATAGAAGTGCCTACGCAAAAGATGTTAGTTGTCTTTTATGGCAGGAAATGCCTATTTTAGCCTTTTTCTCTTGTTCAGATGTGTTTCTAAAGTTCACCTTCCGACGTACAAGAACAGGTTGGCAGTAACAAAATACAATGTAATAAATTATTGGTTTGCATCTGATGTGAAACTTATTAACTAATATCTCCACTGCTGTTGAAACCAAAATATGCTGCGCATATGCAGCTTGCATCTGCTACCTCAGCTAAACTATTTTCTTACCTTTGGGTTCTTAACTTGGCAGCAGGGATACTCATTTCAGTTCAAATTTTATATATAAGGCATTTAATTTTTGTAAATGCTTTAGGTATAAGTATTCTTAGTAAGAGAATTTTAAGAATTTAAATTGCCATCATTAAATTGATCTGAGCTGCACTTATCTTTCAGCTATCACCGAGTCTTACCTGAGTATCTGCGACATTTCACAGTTGGCTGGGTGTATACAAGAATCCTGTCGCAAGGTGTTGAAATTTTGCAGAGACTTCACATGTATGAGGTAAAAGTGGTGAAGTGAATAGGAATACGTATTTAATGTAGCATTGTGTATCAATTTACACTTCTGATGTGGCTGGAAAATGATGATAATACTTGCCAGCACTTGCTACAGTTCTCTTAGGTTACTTTTAAGGAAAAAGAGCCTTTTTTCCCTTGCTGCTTTAGAAAGTTTTAAATTGTTTTGATTTCTACTTAATGCTTTGGAGATTTACCATATGTAATAGACCATAAAACTGTTGCTGAGACATTGTTGTTTTGTTATTTAAAGATATACATGTTACCCTAGATTTTGTTACTACTTTTAAACAAGAAAATCTTGGAAGAAAAGTCTTCTATGAAATCCCTGCCTCTTCACCTGAGGAGCTAACATCTCCAAAGGCCTCTGACTTATATGTTAAAGCAAACCAGATTATTCTGTAAAAGACTTAGCCTCTGCAAAAAGGCAACAAGTAATATTCAGGTCTTTTTCATATACAATAAGGAATACAGAAGGACAAAAATACTGTATTTTTGGCAGCTAACCTTTAAGTTTACATAAAAATATCTATTCTAGAGTTTTTAAGATATACCCATGCACCCATGAATACATTGGGTGCTGGAGTAAAAATGGGATTTGGATTGTGCAGAGACAAAGCTGTGTAGTACCCAGTAATTAGAAGGGAAAGTGACAAGCTAATTATATAATAAAACTCAATTAATAAAGATATAATCCTATTGCTACAGGAAGCGGTGGAGGAGCTGCAGACTCTTCTGTCTCAGGATGTGTATTGTACTGACTGCAGAGGGCGATGGTGGGATCGCCTAGCTCTGAATTTACATCAGCACTTGAAAAACACTAAGAAGGTATTTTCACAACTGCATGCGGGAAGCTGGAAACACTGCGGTCATTGTCTGAAAACATTTAAAAAAATATGTCATATGAGAAGAACGGTGAGGTGGGCTCACCTAAAAATACAGATATTGGTAGGAATCCCAAGGTCAGGCAACCAGTTTCTCCTAAGAAATTGACTACTGAGTATACCCTCATCCTTGGTTGGCCTGCTTTTTTCTGTTGCATAGAAGAACACCATTTGGCATGAAGGACTGTATGGAGTTACCAGGCAGCAGCTTCCTTGCTGTTCTGCCTTATCAATTTGCCTAATGTGTGAGAAGCAGAGAAATTTCTTGCAGTAAACACTTCTGCTTCTGAACCTGAGTCATGATGAGGCCATATCTGGAATAAAAAACACAAACATGATCAGAAGGAGTTTTTTAATGTTCTCAAACAAAAAAATAAGATAATTAAGTCCTTGGCTAACTTTTGCCAGTGGGGAGAAGGTTGTCTTCTATATCTGGACCAGTTTTGGTGTGGAGTTTCTACTGTAAGGGGTCAAGCAGTAGAAAACCCCATTACTAATCTGTTACTTGTACACAGCTCTGGCAGGGTTATCAGTCTTTAACAGCAAATTTAAACTGTTCCCATGGTTCTACAGGAGAAACTGTAACTGACCACCTTTAGACTGGTAAAGAATAACATTAATGGTTTTAGATAGCATGTATTACAGGCTATGTTAATCCTGGTCTGTTTAATTCTCTTAGGAAGGCAGAGGAGGAGAGAAGAGGTTTTGAGGTAATCTTAGCTTTTGCTGAAACTTTGTCTTCTTCCCTTCCAGTAGGAAATACACATCAGTCAAGTGTGGTCGTACAAGCAAAACACATTGTTTGTGCAGTGGGTAAACTTGCCAGTCTCAAATCTGAATGATGCCGTTCAGGCATTTAGTAACACCTGTACATGGTGAGTGGTCTTTTGAGTTTCCTAAGTGATGAGCTGGCATGTAGCCGAATGAGAGAAAAATAGTCATATGGGAATGGCAAGGATTGTGTGCAAGGATTGTGTAAACCTCTGTAGAACTTTCTGGCATCTCTGGAAAGATTTCTGCAGCAGAATATAAAGGAGCCAGAGAAAACTGCAAGCTACAGTACAGGTTGTGCCTTTGAATTCTTTGTGAGTCAGCACCAGCTTTTCACAGACTTTCTTTTCAAGAGCCACAAGGCATAGAAGTCACTAACTCATTTTAGGGCTTAGTTGCAGTTCGACAAATTTTCTGTGTAAGAAACAGCAGGTGGTAGTTGTATCAGCTGCTGGTCTGAGGGTTTATAAGGGCAGGAGATTATGTCCATTTTTTTGTTACATACAAAGGAGAAATATTGTCAATGATTGAAAATGGAACTCTGTAGGACTGTTTAGGTCACAGTGAAGTATTGGCAGACTGAAAATCAACTTTTACCTAAAAGACAAAGATGATCAATCTAATTAAGCACACCTAAGATACCTGAATAATTTAGCAATGAAAAATAAAGATAAAAAAAAAGTTTTAAGTCCAGGAACAGTAGCAGTTGTAGAGTTATTTTAAATAAGCAGAGAATGACTTTTTTTTTTCCCCTTGGTGTTGCTTTCTTGCCTCACTAAAGCTATTGAGAATTGGGATTAAAATGCTCATATTTTGTGTTGCATTTTAATTCTCTGTTAAATGGAAATAATATCATAGGCTGTCAAGCATCTGCAGTTGTCTCTTCTGCATCTTATACCTCCATATCAAGCTTTTTCCAGATTTGGAATTAGAAGTTGTACAAAAGGAGAGTTAGTCTCAGTTCCTTATTTAAAAATTAGGACAAAGTGCCTTCCTCAAGTCACAGAAAGAGAATATGTCAGAACCATGATTTGAATTAATTTTTGGAGTCCATATTTAAGCCTGGATGTTCTTTAGTGCAGTAATGCATTGCTCTAAACTTCGTTCTGTATGTATATTCTTGCACAACTGATCTGGTCATTCTGTTTCTGTATTATGCGCTGTAAAAAAACTGGCTTAAAATATTAAACTGATTTACCTTAGAATCAACTCTTTTTTCTGGTCACTTATGCAGAATTTACACTTCCTTAATCTTATATTGATCAGTACAAATGGAGAGTAATTTCTTTTTACTGTAGTAGTGCAAATTTGAATCCAGAAGCCTACTAGTGCAAAATATTACTTACTAGTTAGATATTCAGTACATAAGTAAGAAAGGTGGCCCTGTCACATGCTGTTTTTTACATTCACATTTTTGCACTCCTTAAATCAGTTAGTCTTTTGGGCTTAGTAAGAACAGACAGATGTGCGTAGGTCTTTCTAAATTATTGCTTGTTGTCTTGCTCTTCACAAGGCCATTGACTGCATTAGAAATGGACTGGCAGACCCGTTTGTACGTACTGGGCATCGTCTCTCTCTCTACCAGCGGGCCCTTCGAATCAGAGATTCACCAAGCTGCAAGCAGTTTAGATGCCTGTTTCATGATCTGCCAGTCATAACTGTGGAGGATGTGACACATGTGAGTGAAGTTGCTGGTGGTTTCTGGGAAATAACAACTCATGAGGTCTTTTTTTTGTTCTGACAAGAAAAAATAACGTGGGAGGCTGTTGTTAGGTGCTGTGCAGCAGCCTCTGACTTACTTGTTCTGCAGGAAAACGAATACAAATGGGGTTCTAAAACAAAAGCTGCTTGTAAACAAATATTTCTACTTATTAAATAAATGGTCAACTTCTTAGCTGAAGTTAGGCAGCTGTACTGTTTTAAATTGCATTGCTTTACTGAATATGTGTTATGAATCTGATCAGCTATAAACTCCACTAATTTACCAGCAACACTCTCAGAACCTTCCTGTCTGAAGAGTCTGATCAAATCAGTTCATTGCCTCTGGTGCCTTCCAGGCCAAGCATTCTGTGTATAAGAAAAAATAATAGTAACTTTAGCATGTTGTCAGCATTAGGTTAATGGCTCAAAAAATGCAAGGTTTTTATAGTAATCTTTGGCAGTTATGCATTCTAAGTATGTACTATGCAAATATGGAATATGATGCATCTATATCATATTGGAATGGATTTAGTATTTTTTTTTAGCTCATTCTTTTCCTTCCTGTTGCAAAGATAATCGTGTCTGGGCAGAGTGAGAGCAGAGCCTCACTTTCTCTATCATCAGCCTCGTCACCACTTACCTCCTTACAGTCCTTCTTTTTCTCAGTCCAGAATTGGTCTCCTCAGTCATCTGTATTCTTTCTGCCTGGTCCTGCATATAGAAAGACTACATTCCCGTCTGCCCAGGATTTTTGCTAGACTTTTTTTTTCTGAAAAAATTGCCAGTTTATAAAAGCTAAGCACAATGATTTCAAGGGAATGGCAGGTTAAATTTTATTCAGTTGATTTTTGGAAACAAGTCAAGTTCTGGTTTTAAGAAAACTGAAAAGGAGTAATGTGTGTTTTAGGAGAGATTAAAATACCTAGGCTAAAGCTTTTTAAATATGATGCTGGAAAGTAACTACTTCTTTTAATATGTTCAGGTTACAATCAAAGGAAAGATGTGTCCTCAAATGGGAATGGGAAAATCTGTATTTCTAATGGAGGATATTGGTGATGAAGAAGGTGATGAAGACTTCAGTGTATCCACAGTCATGTGTTCAGTTGAGGAGCTGGCGCTAACTCATTACAGGCAGAATGGTTTTGATCAGGGTAACAGTAACTTTTTTTTTTTGGTACAGTAAAATAACTGTGGGAGTAAAGAACCAACTTACTAAGCAGTTTAGTTAATATACCAGTTTTAGCTGATTTCATGAGATCAGTTTTTAGTCTGATTCTGTTTCCTTCCCAAACAGCTCTAATATGTAATTTCCTTACCAAAATGCTGTAATTCCACCTGACCTGCTTCCTGGCCTTTAATTATTTGCTGTCCTCATATACCTAAGGTGGTTTTGAAATGTGTTAGGAAAAACCCTAATGTTTCTTGTTTATCTCTGTAGAAAATGACTGACTTTTTGCCTTTCTGATCAGTGAAAAGCTGTTTTATTTGTTAGGGGTAAAATGCTAGCAGTATCATTTAAGGGAGTCATTAAGAAAAGGTGAGCTTCCACTGATTTTTGGTGCTATATGAACATGAAAACAATATATACCATAGCAAGACACTTAGCCACTTCTTATGAAAAGGCTTGATTGGCAGCTGTATTAGTAGTTGTTCATATATTTTTACAACTTAAGAGCTGTGAAAAGCCATGGACAAATAAGAATATATAGGTCTGTCTTACAGGAAAAAAGTGAACTTCAAAAAGGTAGGCAGGTTATATTTTTTAAGATAAAATTTGTATTTTTATATAAAATATATTTGCTAGTATAATTTTATATTATTGATATGTTCCCAAATACTGTTGCAAGAAAAGTGGTAAACAGAAAAGGGTAAACAGGAACGTGACAATATTTAGAATTTGGGAGAACTGTGTTGAGGTCCCCAGTCGATTTCTCGCTCCCACCCACGCACCATCAGTCATCTTGGCTGGTGGCTCCATACAGATTTTGAGCACACAATGGCCAGGTGTGATTCAGTGGGAGGACTAAGGAAATAGAGTGCCCAGGCCAGCCCCACACACACACCCCAACACATGCCACACGCACGCACACACTCTCTCTGGAATATGTATGATCTATCATATGTGTAGAATACATATACATTATGCTATAGAATAACATAGCATATATTCTGTTATCTATGTGTATTATATGTAACATTACATATAATATTATATGTAACATATTATACCAATAGACTAGTAACAGAAGATACATCACAGAGTGGCTGAGGTTGTCAGGAGCTCTGGAGGTCACCCTGTCCACCCCAGCTGCTCAAGCAGGGCCATCCTGAGCCAGCTGCCCAGGACCCTGTCCAGCTTTTGAGACTCTCCAAGGATGGAGACTCCACAACCTCTCTGAGCCACCTGTGCCAGCGCTCGGTCACCCTCACAGCAACAAGGTGTTTCCTGATGTTCATATATATATACACACACACACACACACACACACGTATGTGCATACATATATGTGTCTCCCTGTGTTCACATATGTATATACATTCATACACATGTATGAACACACACATGTATGAACATATATGCATATATATGTTCATACACATGTACAAACACATACATGTATGAACACATATATGTATGAACATATATATATGCAAACATAGGGAAGCACCTTTTTTACTATGATGGTGACTGAGCGCTGGCACAGATAGCCCAGAGAGGTTGTGGAGGGGGTGTGTGTACATATGTATACACATACATATATATGTGTTCATATCAACATACTCATATATGTATGTTCACATATATATGTATACATATATAAGACATATATTTTTGGTCTAGTGGAGGGTATCCCTGCCCGCAGC